GGCATTGAAAAGTGTATTGAGAAATGTGACTGTAGCTACCTGTTTACACATCCCAAGCACTGAACAACCAAGAGCACACATCAAATATTCAGTGCTCTTCAACTGCTTGAATATAAAAAGCATATTCAGCCTCTCCAAAGTCAACTTCATCAACTCCAAAAACGATATAATAACTACCACTGGCATTTCACTAGGCTTTTCTAAAATAATTCAATGTTCTTGGGAAGGTACATTTCCCAGGAGAGCTTGTGGGTACAACACTCAGACCTTCCTTCCTCTTAACAATTACAAAACATTTCATGTCTGCAATACTTATAATTCTATTTGAGTAGGTGAACTTCTCAGACTATGGGCTTCTGGCACGAAAGGGGTCTAAAGCATATTAGCAAGTCAACTTCAGTGCTTGGATTTTCAGTTTATTGGTCCCTGCCTACCTGTCAAAAACTTTATTCCTTTGTACTCCCCAACATGTAATCAAAATATACTAAAGAATCCCCTCCTGTGCACACGCGCGCACACACACAGACACACACACTCTCTCACACACACACATGCACACACAAATACATGACACCGCATACCCTGGCACCTTGGCACATTGTTTCTTCTGTCTATAATCAAAGCCCCCTAACATCACCCGGCAAAGTCATGCTTATCATTAAAGTCGCAGTCTACTTCTTGCTTTAAAGCCACAACTTCCTGAGGCAGACTTGTTTATGTCTTCAATGCTTTCACTTCTCCCTTCACACATTGCCTTAATGTTAATTACTACATTGCATCATATATGTTTACTTATCTGCTACCCATTAAACTGTAAAATCGTTGAGACCAAAGGCCCTGTTTTAATCTATATAACCTGATACTGTGTCTAATACAAAGTAGGTGCTTAAGAAATATTTTCTAGTTGAATATATATAGTACAGTATTGCAGACTTGCAAATAGTTTCTCTAAAAAGAGATGGCATTTTGTACATTATCCCACTGCCCCAGATGATATTTAAAGGACACGGAGAACAAATAGAAAAGTATCTCCCAGGGAACAAGTTTAACAAGTTGATATTAAAAGACAATCTAATGGGGACTCTGAAAAATTACTTTCAGTAAAACTGTGTCACCCTAATGACAATTGTCAGAGTAAAGTGCATTAGCTCTAAAACCCCAGCAAATTATTTGATCTTGGCTGGAGAAGGGTGTTTAACAACTGGAAATGGAAGAAGAAACTCCATCTGTTGTCTAGATCTGTTGGAATTTTTTTTAACTCTAAAATGTGCCACAGATAAAGCTAAAATAATTAAAAATTGATGGGAATGTTCATGTTCTATGGAGTGTCATTTAACAAGTAATGATTTAGCTATCTATGGAAAACAAATACAAAGCAAAGCTAGAGATACGTTTACTGGGGATGAAATTTAGAACTACTATTAGAAAATTTCTACACAAGGGATCCCTCGTCTCATCTTTCCTACATGTTTGAAAAGTCAGGAAACATGCAGAGACCATGCTCAAGGGTACCACAGAGAACATTTGCAAAAAAAAAGCCAGAACCCCTATATAAAGGAAATGGCTTTGACTTAAAGACTAGGGGATTGATGGGTGAGTCATTCTAACCAGGGCTTCCAATAACCAGAGTATTTAAGAAAATAAAATCAGAAAGTGAAGCAAATAAAACAAACATAAAATAAGAAGACCAGTAATGGTAACAATAAATAATGCTTACATTTGTCTAACACGTTACTTTGAGGCACTTTGATTTTTCAAATGAGGAAAATTAAACTGAAAAAGTCAGGTGATGAGCTGAAGGTCACAAAGCTAAAACAGGCAGGATAAAAGAGTTTAACTGGATGTTCTCCAGTCCCTCCACAACTGCTTGTCACCTGAAACATGGGCTTATAAGAATTAAGGATGGATCTAGGATACTTTCTCAAAAACCTTCAATGAAAACAGATGTCTTCCAAGTCACTTAAGCAAATAGTTCAACTGGACTAGATACAGATAACCTAGATAACCTAGATACAGCCTTAGAAAATACCTTGAAAGAATGAGGAAGTTCCTCAATGTGCATGGAGAATCTTCGTGCTCTCCATGTTATGCTGTTGATTGAAAAATTCAAGGTGTCATGAACTATGGGTGATATGCTACTATTTGCATAAAAGCACTGCAAAATATAGATTTAACTGTAGTTGTCTGTCTATGTATATATTATCTCTTAAAGCCACAAAAGAAATTACCAACTGTGGTTACTTCTAGGAAGGAAAAATGGTGGCTAAGGAATCAGGGTCAAAAATAAAACTCTTCACTATACACATTCCCTTTTGTACCTTTTGAATTTCGAACCACATGGAAGTGCTATCTTGTCCAAAAAGCAAATTTAAAAAAGCAAATTTATATATAAATTTAAATTTTATATCCTTTCATGGCACAAAGGTAAAGCCAATGTTAGGTGATTCAGGTAAAATATTTCAGAAATTAGATGTGGCAGAAGAAAGAAAAGTGAAAAATTATTACAAAGTGTTGTCAGACTCCAGAATTCTTGTGGTGTTTGAGTCTAAAGTAAATATTCCTGAAGACCATCAAATTTCTTCCATTTTGATTCTTTGTTCATTAAGCAGCTCTCAATTTTTTACAAGACTTGATACCGAGTAGTGTTCCAATAGCAGACACAAGTATTCAGGTCACTAGAATGGGAGATCCTTTCATGGTAAATAAGTTAGTATTTAATTGAAACCAGTCTGAAAAGGTTGATTACGAGTCATTCCAGGCACACTGGTAAAATGTGGAACTGAAGACCTAAAAACTAAAGCTTGAGCAACATCACCAAGGATTTATTCAAAAACCAGGCAGGCCCATATGTAGAATTACTATGAACATATTTGAAATTTTCAGTATGTTTGTTCTCTGTTGTATCACTACTTAAGTTATGCCTAAAATATTAACCGAAAGTCACAATAACTTGATAGTTTGGGGTGATGAGGAAACCACATCTTTGGACCTATGGCAAGCGATAGTATCTTTTTTCTTTAAGTCATGATCTGATAGTTGTTCACGTGATCACCAAGACAACCAAAATTAGGGAAAAGGAGAGGAGTTATAGAAGGGGCTAGATCATTCACAATTTGGGTAAACTGAGGCCTCAATAAATGATTTATTTAACTGAACTAAAAGATTTTTGTTATTATGACCAAGCCACTGAAGCTACCAAATTAAAATATAAAACTTATTTGTGAAAAGCAATTGTTTTAGGAAATAGGATTCTACCATGAACAGCAGTTAACAAAGTTGACATGCCAGCAGTTACTAGTTCTCATTAAGTATTAACTAATGCTTCCTTACCTGATCCCCAGTAATGCTATTGATAAAAAGCAATGGAAAATTTGGAGGAAGTGACGAATCAACCTCTCTCTCCCATATGCCATATTTTATTGGAATATGAGTAAGTATCAGACTGGCTTGAGAAATGGAGGCTGGGGGTAGTACGAATCATCAAAATGGCATTTGACACCCTAAATGTAACAATGCTCACTCCAATTGGTTGTTTCACTGTGACTCAAGATCTGTCAACTGAGGACACAGGATTTTTAGTAAAGCCAAGAGAAACACTCCTAAATTTTAAACCAAGTCTTTCAATAGACCTAATACAAGATCTAACAAAAGTCAGTTAAAACAACTTTACCAAGTAAGCTGATTTTGATTTTCAAAATCCATTCTTCCTAAAACAAAATTCAGGAAAGAAGTCTGGGAACCTGTTTTCCTAAAGTGCACTAAACTATATTAGCAGGTATCCAAATCAATGTTTCATTCCCTTATTCTCCTTAAATGACCTTATTTTTCTAAAATAAAAGATAAATGAGTGAAAGTATCAATTAAGCATCTACTTCCTTTCTCAATATTAATAAATACAAATACATGTGAATCTTTGCTGGGTACTATACGTTCAATAAGCAGATGGCCAACAACCTTGGCAAATCCACTGCATTATGAACAAAAGTAAATTAACAATAGCTCCCCAAATGCAACAATCTCTTTTCCCCTAATCAAGCAGAAAAGAATTATCCCAACTCCTTCAATTATATACCAAAGAATGCAGAAAGAAAACAAAATATTTACAGAACTTGGTATGTGTACCTTTTGAGGGCAAACATTTCTCGAATAATCAAGCTTTCCTGTCATATCAATTTTATCAAACCATGAACCTTTGAGGCCACAGAAAACAAAGGTTAAATGGCTCTGCCATTTTACAATGATCCTATGTCACCTTTAGAAGGGTAATCACCAGGGAAGCGACAAATTCGATGCATCCCTTGCTTCCTTTCCCTCACTGGTTAAGCAGATCCTGCACTACAGCCACAATCTGCTAGTTTCTCCCACCACGCACACATAAGGCCTCCAACGCACTCCACAAACCAGGGCCAGGCTGTCTAGAAATCCGCACTGTGTCACTGCATAAGGCAGCTTCTGACTGCACACATCCAGGAAGAAGGGCTCGGAGGCTCTGTCAGATCTCAGAAAGGCTGTAAAATGACAGGAGCTGCTAATTAAATAGCAGCAACAATCACCACCTTTAAAAATCATTTAAGCAGTTTTCCTCCTGTGTCTCACTTTCTCCTCTCTCTCTCTCTCTCTCTCTCTCACACACACACACACACACACACACTGCAGCTCACCCCCCAGCTTTGCAAGGGGGCATGCTGAGAGCTCCGGGCTGCCTCTGGGCTGCCAGGTGGCCCAGCACTCATTCAGAGCCCTGAAATACAGACATTCTCACCTACACGTTTCCCGACACTTCCACCCTCACCACCCCCTCCCCAAGCACACACACTCGCCCTCGCAACCTCTCCCCACACCAAAGCAGGCGCTGCAGAACACCCACCAGCCTCATTAGCAAGAGCAGCACGCGTTTCCATTTCAGGCGGCCCAAGCCCCAGACACCCCCGCCCCAGGAGGGCCCCCTCCCCGGCTCGGCCCCGCGCCTGGACCCCTCGCCCCCAGGGAGGATGCGCTACCTTTAGACTGGCAGTCCGCGCAAAACTTGTTATCCTCCTCCAGCAGCAGGTTGGCCAGGACCGCTTGGTACCGATCCACGTCCTTCACCGACTTGCCGGTCATGGCCAGGGTGCCGGCGGGGGCAGAGGGCGACTCGCCCTCCTCGCCCCCAGCAACCTCCGCCGCAGTTCGGGGGTGAGGATCCCGGTTCCCTGCCCAGGGGCACCTCCTGAGCGAGAGAGAACCGCTCCTCGACGCAGCCCCGGCGCCCCTTCTCCGGTCAGCGGTGCCCGCCCCCCACTCTGCAGCCCCCCAAGTGTGGGCCCCTGCCCCCCCCGCAGGCCCAAGACAAGAGGAGGCGGCCGGACCAGGGGTCCGTCACCCAGACTGAGGGGCTCCCGGGCCGCCTGGGTGGGGGCAGCAGAAGACGACTCCCCCGCCTGTCTGCGGGCCGCGCGTCCCGCGCCTCGTCTCCCTGGCAGCTGCCGCCTGCTCTGCCACCACCTCAGCCCCCTACTTCCGGCAGCTCTTCCTCTCGCCGCCACCCAGCCAGGCCCGCGCATGCGCCCCGCCTCCCCGGCGCCGCGCCGGCTCTTCCCGCGGCCCCGCCTCTCGGGAACCCGGGGCTAGATGAGGGCGGCGCTTGGGCTCGGACGGAGGAGCAGCGGGCACGCCCCTGCATGTCCTTGGAAAAGAATGAATGAAGCCTTGACGGAAGGGAGTGGAAAGAGGGCCTCCCCGGAGGCGCAGCGGGCTGAGAAGCTGTCTGCAGCCTCTGCAGCGCGGGTTCGAGTCCCGGCCAGCCAGGGAGATACCCACATGGCGCGGCAGACCTCTCCTGTCTCCCCCGCTGCTCCCCTCAGCAGTGTATTTCAGTACATCTGTCTGTTCTGCTCTGTCGCTGGTGAATCTTCTCACCCTGCCGTGCCTCTGACCTGTACCCCAGTTCTTGTATTTAAAAAAAAGGGGGTGGAAGAAAGGAAAGGGAAAGAACAATTAATATATACTGAGCTCTTTCTATGTACCAGGCACTGTACTAAAGCGCATAACAAGATATCCCAATATAATCCTTGGACCCTTATATAACCTGAGCATGTGGATACCTCCAAACTCCTGATGGCATTTATTCCCTTCAACAGTCCCTAACCCACAAGATATTAGATCCTTCCCAAATTTTCAGAGGATTCTGGTCACCTCTCACTTGGAATACATTTTTCCCCACTGAATTCTCAGCCCCTGTAATCATTAGCTTTCCTTTTGCAATTGCTGCCATCTTTGGACATGGTTTTGCCTGGTGCCTAGATACTTTGTTCTTTCTTTCCTGAAACCTTCTCCAAACAGTGCAGTTTGGTGCAGCAGATCTTTACTGAAGGTTATTCGGGGGAGTGGCAGAGGGATGAATACAGCATAGTACAGAATAGGCAACTATTTTTAAATAATTGTTAAACGTCATTGTCCAAAGTCACCCTTGCTGCAGAGAATTTCTCAGTGGCTCTTTTTTTTCTTAAGGATCCTCCTGTCATCTGACAAACATTCACTCATTTATTCATTCACTCATACCTTTTAAGAATCAAGAACTTGAAACTTCTAAGTATCAAGGACCTTCTGGGGGAGTGGGAACATTATGATCTGATTTGTGGCTTTAAAAGATCACTGAGGCTACCATGGATAGACCAGATCAGGAAAGTTGGTAAGAGTAGATGCTTAGTTACTTAATCTCCAGTGAAACCCCTTCTTCTGTGTTTACCTTCTCTCAAAACCAGACTGCACTCAAAAACTAAGAATTTCTGTTTCTTAATCAAAACCATTTAATTCCGGCCTCCTTGGTGATGCAGAGGTTAAAGACAGTGCTATCAAGCTACTGACAGCCACTGCAGCACAAGTAGATCCCCGGCTGGCCAGGGAGCAATTCACCTGGGTGCAGCAGACCTCTCCTGCCTCCCTTGCCTGCTGCTCCCCTCAGCAGTGCATTTCAGTAGAGCCACCTGTTCTGCTCCCCACTCTCTCTGTTGATTCCTCTCACCCCCCCACCACCACCTCTGGCTTACACCCCAGTTCTTGTATGCATAAATAAACAAATCTTTAAGAAAAAAAAACATTAAATCTCCATCTTCCCTTCTAGTCATGCGTAGGAAACTTGACTTTCATAAGCACACGTGTATTAAGGTGTTTTTCCTAAACAAAATCTCAGTTATTTCTCTAGCAAGAATTCTGCCTTCCCATCTAAGCTGATTTTCTCAACCTGTTACAAGTTTGTAGTATTTTTTTCTTTAACTTACTTTTCTTACTTTAACACCTATGTTATAAATGAACAGACTGAGACTTAGGATAATAAGCTCCCTCATTTAGGAGTAGTAGAGCTGGGATTTTTAACCTAGATCTCTGTGATTGCAGAGCCTTAATATAGTTAGAGTCTTCATTAATGCTATCTTTTATAATCCTTAGAAAAACCCACCTACAGGGTAAATAGTGGGTGTTACTATAACCATTTTTAAAGAAACAATAAAACAGAGGCTCAAGATTATATAATTAATTGTGACAATTGTGCCTTAATTTGAAGTCCTCTTCACCTCCATCTCTTCACTATGCAGATAGCCTTCCTGCCTTAGTCCAACCCTAGTTAAAGGGATTCTCCACATCACTTTTTAGAGAACTGCCTAAGTGGCAAATCTGAGTGAGTCACACCTCCTGCTTAAAAATCCTTTAGTGGCTCTCCATCAGCAATGCTTCTCATATTTTCCCATCTAGTGAGAGATTACAGTCTGGTGATTAAGCACACAGACTATGGGGCCAAAATGACTGGGTTTAAGCCCACAGTTTCACAATTTACTATCTGTGTAGTTTTGAGCAGGTTAGTTAACCTGTGCCTCAGTTATTTCATCTATAAAACAGAAATGATTATATTAATACTACCTATTTCATGGGATTGTGGTGAGGCTAAACAGACATAATACCTGTATATATTTACAGTAGGTCTTGGTGCATATTGAGTGATAGAAAACTAATGTTCTTCACTAAACATTTTTTTATATTCTGCCTCCTTGGCAAAATCTCTTGAGATTTTATTTCCTGATCCTCTTATTGTTGGGTGTGCCCAATGAGTTTGAGCAGAAAAGGTATTTCACTTCATAACTTAAACATTTATTTGCTGCTTTGAGTTTCTTCTGATTCTCTTTCCCTCTGACCATCAATGTTGAAGACACTAATTGCCTTAGTTCAGAATATCATGGAATGTATGACTCATAAACAACAGAAATTTATTTCTTGGGCCTCCCTGGTGGTGCAGCAGGTTGAGTGCAGTGCTGTGAAGCTGTCTGCAGCCTCTGCAGCATGGGTTTGGTTCCTGGCTGGCCAAGGAGATACCCACATGGCACGGCAGACCTCTCCTGGCTCACCTGCTGCTCCCCTCAGCTGTATTTCTGGTCCATCTGCCTGTTCCACTCCCCACTCTGTCTCTGGTGAATCCTCTCACCCTCCTGCGCTTCTGGCCTGTACCCCAGTTCTTGTATAAATAAATAAATCTTTAAAAAAAAGAAATTTATTTCTCACAGTTCTAGAGACTGAGAATTCCAAGGTCAAGGTGCTGAGAGATCCCATGCCTGTTGTGAGAACCATTCCTCATTCACAGATGGAGCCTTCATGCTACATCCTCACAAGGCAGAAGAGGTGAGAGAAAGTTCTCTGGAGTCCCTTTTCTTAGGACACTAACCCCATTCAAGAAGGCTCGACCCTCATGACCTAATCACCTCCCCAAAGGCCTACTTCCCAAAGGCCTGCAAATTGGGGAGCAGGCTCTATTTAATATATGAATTTTGAGAGCATGTAAACATTCAGTCCATAATAGTGGTTGCCCTATTAACCTGAGTTCCTGAGAACTTGATAAGCGAGAACCCTGTGTGTGATAATACATAAAAAATGCATAGCACACGCAAGAGAGAAACATTTTTCTTATTTACTCACTGAATTCTGTTTACTGTAGTATAACCTACTCTATCCCGATATTATTATCATATTAGTAGCATATTAAAGTGAATGCATATCCTAAGGTCTGAAAATATGCTCAAAGCTAACTTCTTCCCTTCCCAAGTACAATTTTTTTAAAATATTAAATTTTGTCTTGACAATTCTTTTTTTTTCCCTAGGTTTACTTTTTTTTTCTATTCACCACATGGTTTACTGAATATTTTAAGCCCACTGTTGAGACCTACTGCTCAGAAAAAGAGTTCCTTTCAAAGTACACTGCTTATTGACAAACTCTCACCTGAGAGTTCTTATGAAGACATACAAAGAGATGGATGATGCTTTTCTCCCTTCTGCAGCTCATGGATCATGCCTTGTTATTCAAGAAATACATTTCCTACAGCTATAACTGCCAGAGATAGTGATTCCTCCGATGGATCTGGGCAGAGTCATTGGAAACCTCCTGGAAACGATTCACCAATCTAGGTGCCACAGAGAACATACAGGATTCATGGGCTGAGGTTCCAATGTCAGCACTGAAGGGAGTTTGGCGGAAGTGGACACCACCCCTCATGATGAGTTTGACGGGCTCAAGATGTCAGAGGAAGAAGTCACTGCATATGTGGGAGAAACAGCAAGAAACCCAGGATTAGAGGTGGAGCCTGAAGATGTAAAGCTTGAACAGATGAAGAGATGCCCTTGTGGATGATCAAGGAAAGTTGTTTCTTGAGACAGAATCCACTCCTGATGAAAATGCTGTGAACACTTAGTTGCTTTCTAATTGGTATCTCTTGAATAATTTTCTTGCCCAATGTCTGCTACAAAGCATTGTATGATTTACTGCTGAGAAATGTTTTCTGAGATGCTGAGTAACATTGGTGGACTGAACTTGTAGGTTTTTATAAACAGTGTGATGCAGTTGCCCATTTTATGCTTCTTGGTGCTTTGACTATCTTGTCTCTGTCAGCTTCCAGCACCCTTCCAAATTTCAATCTCCTCACCGTACAGAGGATCTTCATCACATCCTCCTCCTCCCATACTCACTCCACGCAGAGGGTAAGGGACCAAGGAAGGCAGCCTTGATCTCAGCCTCTGCGCAAGGCTTCTCACCATGGTGATAGACCAGAGATGCCTGCCGGCCCTCAGCATGGGGTCAAGACTAAGGTTGTGTGATCCCGGCGGCATCCAGGAGGCACTGTTGTCCTGAAGGCAGTGCGCTCACAGGAGACACTGCACCTCAACGAGGTAAGCTCAAGCAAGATGCCACCCCCGACACAGTGAGGTCACGTGAGACGCTGCCAGCAAGGCCTGAGGTGGCCTAGAACAGTGGTGAGCTCAAGACAGAAGCCAGCCCTCAGGCAGTGAGCTCACAGGAGACCCTGCCACCCAGTGCTGGGAGCTCACAGGACACCCTGCCACCCAGTGCTGGGAGCTCATAAGCCTTCCCTTGCGCAGTCAGCTGATACAATATGCTGTGTTGACAGTTCTCACAGAAATGTTCCCTGTGTTCCTTAATATGACTGTGTTATCAAAAAACTGTTTCACACC